AGATTACATGGAGATCGGGGACAGTGCCTCTGGACGGGAGACTGAGCGGTTCCTCTCCATATGAAGAGGAACCAGAGGGTGTGTTCCAACAGTCGGAGGAACTTGAGATGCCCTGTGGGGGGTACACCAGGAGTTTGGAGTTGGGAGCCCTTAGGGGCAATGAGAGAGGTACCAATCCTCTCTTATGGTCATTTAATCTAGATCATAACTGAATTGCACTTTCTCAGAGACAGAATGAGGAGCTCAGTCAACTGGGGGAGGCTCCAGGTAGAGCAGCCTTTCCTCCACATCAAGAGGAGTTAGCAGATTTTGCTCAGAAACCTTTTTTGAATGGCCGAATGCCTCCCTTGAAAAGTGTTCCAGGTACATCCCACCTGTAGGAGGCCAAGTGGGATAACCCAGCACCCATTGGAGGACAATGAATCTGGGCTGGTCTAGGAGCGCCTTATGCTTCTCCAAGCCAAAATGGTGGAGATGCATTTTGAGAGGAAAGTCTGGGAATCTCTTTTGAAACTGCTTCCCCCACAACCCGGTCTCAGATAAGCAGAAGACAACGAGCACAAGTACATGCTCAGTATTTTTCTTTTGTTAATACAGAGACTTGAACCCGGCAGTAAACTGAGCCTGGACCCTCTCATTCAGTTTGACACAGATGGTGAAGTTTCCTTTTTTATAATTATTAGGAAAGGTCAACAGTATAAATAATTTTGACAGTGTTGCGATTATATCAACTAAATCTAAAAAGCCTCTTTGCTTTATTTTCTTTTCTTTTTTTTCCAGTTCTGGTGGGGTAAGGCTATTGAAATCTGGCTTATACTTTAAATGAAATCAGGAATTATGAAATTATCTGTTGCTTTTTAAGAGATTAAGGATTTAGGCCAAATCAAGACAACTGGATTCTTGTTAGTCTCTATCAAAAATGTATTCACACTCCTAAAAGTAAGACTCTTTGCTTAGCTTCACAATTAATTTCAAAACAAATAGTGTATAATTCATTTATTTGAATAGAAAATGTGTTTTTTACATCTAGAGAACATAGCTTCAAATACAGTCCTGTTACAGTGTAGGCATTTAGTCAGATATAGTGACTACTTTACAAATGTATGCAGTTATCTTTCCAACCAATCACATGCCAACAAAGTTTGTATACAAGCCATCAAGGCAGAAACCACAATTTAAACACTTTAACTCCCACATCATCAACTCTCCTTTTGGCAGCTCGTTCTGCTGAGACAAAAGCTAAAAGTAGGCCATGGCTTACAGAACTCAGGGTCCTAATGTTTCTTTTGCTTTTTCTCAGTTAAAACAGCAGCAATGCCTTGTTGCTGTGCAGAACTTGGAGCGAATTGGCCTGCTGAGTTTGTAGGTGGGGCTAAAGGTAAAACAGCTGTCTTTTCCATTAGTCCTCCTCTGTTTTCCTAACACACCTCATTCTAAATGAACACAAGTCTGAGGAAAAGCTCATCACTTGTCTCTCTTTTCATCTTGAGAACATAACATTGATGCTGGTTCCTTCCATATAGCTCAGATTACATGAGTGTTGCTCCAATAAAGTTAAACAGTTAAAAAGTAAAAAAAAAAAAAAAAACCCACTGTACTTTGCTTTCCAAGTTTGAAGAGATTCTGCTTCCCATTCAGGAAGCTTTTTCTATTCCAAATGTTGAGTTACAAGCTCTAGAGAGAAGCCCAACAAAGCCTTGTTATGGCTTACAATTGTTTTGTAGCAAAATATTAAATGTTACTCATCCTTTAAAATGGGCAAAATTGTCTGGACCGGTTTACAGTAAAATTGTATTTTACACTACAGTATATTGGATTTTCCAGAGTAGGTTGTAGGTTGAGATATAAATAGCTGAACATGATAGATTTGGTTTACAACAAAGCCTAAGCATGTCTTGAAATCAGGAAAAGGGATGTGAAGTATGACTTCATAAGGTTTTTAGATTGCAATTCCAATACACTTCATTTATATAGCACATTTAACAAAAACTGTTTCCAATGTGCTGTACATAGAACAAAAAAACACGCAGGAAAAGTCCGATCAGCAAGGAATAATCAATGGGTCATTATTTATACTTAAAACTAAATTGTTCACTGTGACTTAATTATTTCAGTGTTAATCAGTCAAAAAAATAAAAACAATAATTTTTCTTTTCGATCACTGAGTCCAGGACCAGCCATTTTCACCCAAATATAGTAACACCTCACTCCTGACATCTTCCGGCAGTGACGTCACGGTGCGGTAAGCCTAGTGCCATTCTCTCCGCTTTACAAGCAGAATGAATGGGAACTACTAGACACATCTGCAATCAACAACAATTATTGAAGATTTCCAGAGGACCTCGCCATTGAAATTCACCAGAGCTATAGTTAAACTGACAATGCCCACGTGCATGGCAGTTGGATGTTGGAATACATCGGGGAAAAGTGAAAAAAAAATTAGTTATTTCACTTTTCCAATTAATGATCCACCACAAGTTTGCCGTTGGATTGCCAACTTGAAGAGGGAGGATTTGCCATCGACCTTCTGGCCAGAGAAGAAATACGTCCTTAATCCGTTACTCTCTGCTTCGCATTGTGCACTGGTAGTCACCATCATGGAAAATAGCGCATTATCTCAAACACCAGATACAGCACTGGGACTCGCTTAACAGCCGATACCGCACAGTGACGTCACAAACCGGTAGGTGGCAGTAGTGCTCTTTGACAAACATGGATGTCTCTGGTGAAGCACACTCACATGAAAATTACTCTTAATTAAAAACACTTATCATTTATTGAAAACTATGTAAGAATTTCTTACTTAAAGTACTTTCAGAAGTTTGTATTCTGAATGTGACCGGACTTTTCCTTATAAGATGAGACTTAAAACACACTACTTAGGAGATTGTTCATACATGGAGGGGCAAAGTATTCCATAGTCTGGGGCCAACAGAAAAGGCTCTGTCCCCTCCGCTTTTAAGCCTCGTCTTAGGCACTATTAGTTGAAGATGGCCCTCAGACCTCAAAGCACATGCCGGAGTGCAAATCGGGAGTTGATAATGTATTGAGGAGCCATCCCATTCAAAGCTCTAAACACCAACAATAAAATATTAAAATCAATTCCAAAAGAACAGTGTGCCAGCGCAGAGATGCAAGAATTGTTGTTAAGTGTTGATGTTTTCTGGTCCCTGTTAAAAGTCGAACAACTGCATTTTGGACAAACTGCAGAGAGGAGAGGGCTCTGTGTTTGTTTTTAGCAATTGGCAAATAAATGTGTCAGTCATCTATATACAAGTTTCAGAGTTTAATTTGTTACAGTCCAAGTGTATAGTTTATATTTTGCATGACCAGAATGTTCTAAATGTCAAAACAATCTATAATAACCCTTGACGATTTTTTTAATAAAAGAAAAAAATAGTTTGGATACCAAAAAATGAATATCTTGGATTTGCTGACCAAATCAAAAAGAACTCTTCAAAAAAAAAAGGAACCTTAAGGGACTGAGAATAGAACCTTGGGGAACGCCACATCTGATGGGAGTTTTAAATGATGATGAATCACCTGTCTCTGACTGAAAAAGGCTTTTCTGTGAAGTTTTATTGAAAGCCTACACTTCTTCCTGGGAATTTGCAGCGCAATGATTAACCTTATTTTAGTACATATAACAATAGCTAGGAGAGCTTTGTTTAGTTTATCATCTTTAAAATTGACATACGGTAAGCTAAGGTGGCTTGGAGATCTTTTTCGGATGCCCCCTGGACACCTGCCTTGCGAGGTGTTCAAGGGACGTCCTGCCATATGTATCAAACAAGACAAACTAGTTCAAATAGGCAGAAGCTATTTTCTATGGTTTTCTGTTTTAAAATAACACCTGTGTAGCAAACACTGGTCTGATATGGTGTTTGCTCTCTAATGTTCCTTAACAAACCTGAGGCCAGACACAGAACATCTAGTAATTAATTCAAAATTCATCCATCCATTTTCCGTCAAGCTTATACCTCTTGGGGTAATGAGGGGTGCTGGTGCCTTTCTCCAGCTGTCAATGGGCGAGAGGCGGGGTACACCCTGGACAGGTCACCAGTCCTTCGCAAGGCAACACAGAGACAAACAGGACCAACAACCATTCACCCACACACTCACACCTAAGGAGAGTTTAGAGAAGCCAATTAACCTAACAGTAATGTTTTTGGACTGTGGGAGGAAGCTGGAGTACCCGGTGAGAACCCATGCATGCACAGGGAGAACATGCAAACTCCATGCGAAAGACGCCGGGCCAGTAATCAAACCCGGAACCTTCCTAATGCAAGGAAACAGCACTGCCCACTGTTCCACTGTCTAACCCTAATTCATAACTCCTATTTGATTATTTGAGACTTTTGAAGCTAATTTGTTGCAATACATTTTATTTGGGATCATCGGAGTAAAAGGGTACAATTTGTTTTCCAGTCAACAATTAAAGACTGATTTCATGTTGGTCTGTCACATTAAAAAAGCAATAAAATACAATAAAGTTTATAATTAGAAAGCACTGAGTAAAAGGTTTGAGTTTTATGAATACTTTTGCAAGACATCACTATATTGTCTGTGACTTCTGCCATAAATGAATCCAATGAACAATTAAGTCCTGTTTTTCAGTTACATTTTTAGCTCTTGTTTTCTCAATAAAAACCAAAGCCATAAAAGTCTATTTTTGCTGTTAATGATGCAGTAAAACAGAATCGCATTGTCAGCTGACTGATTCCCGTTTAATGTCCCAAAAGCTGCAGTTTTATTTTCCTTCTGGTCAGCTATTAATGAATAGTAAAGAAATGAATAAATGCTCAAACAACTGAGTATGTTTTCCCTTATCTCGTCCTGCATCTTCTCACTCAGAGTCCGAAGACGAAGAGAGTCTCTGTGAAGCCGGAGATCCTGCAAACATGGGTGTAGCTCTGTGTGAGGGGATGGGAGAGGGCTGACAAAAGGGGGTGGAAAATTAGGCTTGCCAGCATTCTTCTCATTTAAAGCTGTAACTACAGAAAAAAAAGACACTCAGGCAGTCTGGGCTGGGTCTGCTTACAAGGAGGGGAACTCTCTGTATTCATGGTGGTGCTGTGATAACCTGAGCACTTTTCTCTTCCATCCCTTTCCCCCCCTTTTTTTTTATTTGCACACACAGACGGCTCATGTCTGCCTTATAGACATGATGATCTCTGTGCATTTAAGGACTTTTATTTTTCTGGTGGTCTCAAAGGTTTTGATTGTGACCTGTCAGGACGTGGGCGGCGGTAAGTCTTTGATTTAACGCCTAATTGCTGCAAAGGTTGTTGACCCTCAGACATGTTGCTCAGACCTGAGAACCCAAAGCTGAGTTTAAGTCATGTTGAACAGACTGTTTGCTTGACTTAAAACAGATTCCTCTCTGTGATTCAGACAGAAGGCATCTTGCTTTGGATTCCTTTACATTATGGCTTTCTTTGCTTGTTGAAACACATCTCTGATGTAGATGATGAAGACCAGCCTGACATGGTCACTGTCGAGTTTGCTGTTCAGCTTAGGAGCGGTTTAGTAGAGACGGTGATGCCTTCACAGTGGATTATCTGTAATTGCCAGACGTCTTTTAGCGGCTGAAGGTGATGTCACGTCGAGGCACAGGGACGGTTCAGAGGAAAGGAAACGAGGACCTTTGGTAGAGGCGGGACATACGTTAGGAAGCAGCAGCATCCCTGGATCTTATGGTGGACCTATGAGCAAAAGTGACCCAATGATGTTAGCAGCTGTTGGAATCAGTTTGGAACACCTGAGTTTCCCTGTTTGAATACTTTGGATCTCTGGTTTAATAAGTGGATGATGCCAGCGGCCCTGCTGGGTTCTGTGAACTCTCTGTGATGGCCTCCTGATTCAACTGCAGACAGTTCTGTTTTATTAAAGCCGTCTCTCCAGCTGGATAATTGCTGGGTTTCTTTTATTATATCATTAGCTGTAGTTTACAAGACTTCAAAGGTTCTGTTTCCCATTAAGAAGGACAATTTGTGACCATAGAGCAGGTAGAGCGCCACCTTGTGGTGCTGTGAAGAAACCACCCAGAATGTGCATTTTTAGATAACGGATTTGGAGTATTTTTACCCTTATGCGTTTGTACTAGTTGCAATTACAAATGTTTTATGTCCCTTTAAAATGTTTGGAGAATTGATAGTTTCTGTTGTACGGCCATGTATCTTTCTTAATATTCTTCGTAATTAAAGGAATTTGGATTTTCTCTTTCTTACCAAATATTTTCTTTTCACAACCTGTATACTGTTGCTTCATTTCACTACAGATCTGACCCTAAAGACGCTTCAGGAACGTTTTGTGCTGAAAGGCTCCAGTTCCTGCTCAGTGGGGACATTTCGTACTTATTGTTTCAAATGATGGTTTAACCCTGATAATCTACTCGATATCGTCTCAAACTGCTCAGAGTCGTAATACAACCAATGTTGAGTCTGTACACTCTGCCATTTGATGCTTAATCTACACATTGTGACAGACATATTTGAACCGCTGAGTCGCCCTCTAGTGGTCATAGCCATGTAAAGTTTTACACAGTCTACTTAAATGAATGATCTCCTCTCAGTTTTGCACTTTTTTAAAATCTTTTAATTAGTAATTATTATTTAGTGAAGGGTTAGTGTAATCCTTTATGATTTGATTATAGCCTAATGTTAGAAAATATGAATCCCTGCCAACTGAAAGTCTCTCTGAGCTTGTTTAACGGTCGTGTTCAGACATTTAAAAAAAAAGTCAACTTGTCCAAGTAGAAATCAGAACTATATTAAGTCGAAACTGGGGATGATATCAAACCTACAGAAGATATGATGAAAAATCTAATTATCACCACTTTGAATTTTTTTCCTCACTTCCATTGAAAATCTGTATTCTATAGTCAGAACAGCTGCTGTTGGGTTTGATCTTTTCTGATGAATTGCCTTTGTTCTTAGTTGCTAACTGTATTTAATTTAATATGCAAAGAATATTTAGTTAAACCTGAATTGTTCATGGTTGAAAATGTTGATTAGAAAATAATCTGAATAGAATGCACCAAAAAACGAGAAGTAAAGTAAAAGTTCCAAAGAGAAGATTCAAAGAACTGCTGAGTTTTTATTTCTGACCTCGGCTGTATAATCAATAATTATAGATCAGATGACCTTAAAACATTAACATAAAGATTTTAGGGGTCCAGCTTTAGGCTAACCATATTGATGATGCGTTGTAATGATTGTTTTTGCCTTGTTCTAGGGGCTCCCATCAAAATATAAAAAGGAAAATAAAATAATTTACTCTAATTGATTGATTGATTTTACTGATCTCACAGTGGAATAAATTTAACAGTGTTTGGAGAAGAGAAATGTTCAATCTGTATCTAGCTGTGCCTTATTTACTTTAGGAAGTCCTGCTCCGGTTTGTCCATATCATCTCATAAAACAGCAGAGCAGCCCTCCAAGCATATTTCCATATGTGCTGAGGGTTAGATGATTGCTTTTGGACCATGTGAAAACAGTGGAAAGTTCAGGGGGGTTGGGGGAAAATGTGGTTCACCAGCACTGTGGGATGATGTGTGCGAATGTCTGTGAAAGGATTTTAAGACTCAGCGACCAGTTATGTTTTTCCATTCTTTCATAAACTGTAGTTCAGGAAAAAAAAAAGGTGCTTAAAACTGGAAAATTTGGGATCTTTGTTTTAAAACCAATTCCAGCTGAGGCTAAGAGGGAACCCAAGAGAATATGGATCTAAAAACTTCAGAGTTGGAGTTTATCCAGAATGAGTATAATTTTAAAATTCAAATTAAATTAGGATTTGAAGATCAGGTAAAAGTTTTGCTGGGACAAAAAGAGTCAAATCTCTATTGTGAGTTTGTATAACAGTGTTAAAGTAGAACCGATAAAAATCCAGACTTCACTTAGTGAGAGCTGAAAACACCGAACACAGGACTGAGGTTAATACTCATTGATACCAGAATTTAAATTGTTTGCAAAAGCTGTCATAATTAATACACAAACATGCAGGGAATCAAACATTAACTCTTGGAAAGTTGTTTTATTAACAAAACTAACTGGAAAATGAGCCCCTAACAGCACTTTGCTTAGGGCCCTGTATAATCTTGGACCGGGCCTGTAGTTGAAGTTTTGCTACTGAAATCCTCTTTTTTTCAACCATTTTTTGTTTGTTGTATAAAATAAGTCAAGGTTGATGTTTTCTCTTCTTGTAAATTTCTTCTATCAGGTTTTGATGCAAAGTTGAGCTTTTCAGGACAGTTCACCTGCTTTAAAACAGAATCATGTGTCTCAGTTTTTGTGGAAAGTTTTCTCTCACACAACAGCAATGGTTCACAGGCGCTTCTTACACCAAGAGAATTAGAAAAAAAAAAATGCTGGAATCATATTAGGAGACAGAGCTGAGGTTTGGAAAAGAGCAGGAAGAAAATGGCAGCAAAGCGTGTTTCTGATTCAGTAATAAAAAACAGACGTGTTTTGATTTTTTTTCTGTGCCCAGGATTTTGCAGAGAAAGAATTGAAGACTTTGTACCTCCTACCCTCTAATAATGCTGCAAAACATAAAAAAAAAAACGTGTCACTTTGTGCAGGGAATTAAGGGGACTCTGCTTTACACTGTAACAATTCTCATCACCCCCCCACCCCAACACACACACACTGGCTGGTATCCCTAGCAAACAAACCGACATGAGGTCACTCTGTCCTCCAAATTGCTTCCAGTTGTTGTTGCCACATCACAGCAACAAATGGACTGTTTTCTACCATAGCTGAAAAAAAAAAATTAAAACATCCCAACATGTGAACTAAGCCAGGTCCACACACGGCTCCGATTAGCAACACATGCTGCATTTTTCAGCTATGACTTGATTACACGCCTCCATTCTCCCCGAGCTGGGGGTGGGGGGGATGCTCGGTCCTCAGCAGATTGTCTGAGGAATCATCAGCTGTCCGAGGGGAATTGTCTGGCTGTGAACCTGGGATGTTGGTGAGGGTACTGATAGGTTTCTAATGCCTGTTAGGAGAGCTCCATGGGAAATGCTTATAAACCAACGTGGTGCAGGGAGCGGGGGGGGGGGCTTCAGACTGGAGGGATGATTTCCAGATGTTTTAAAAAAGCCATTGGAAGTGGAGGATTGAAACATGGACATGTGAAAGTTTCTCTCCCTGCGTACTTTGTTCCTATTCTCCTTTGTTTGTTCAGCAGTTGTCGTCGTTCGGGCTCCTCCTCAGGTTTCCTGCCGCCTAATTGGCACTTTGCCTCCAATCTGTCCTATCATCCTTGTGGGGAAATGACAGGACAGAACCTAAACATCGACAGTCAGCTCTACCCACCGAAGGCTGTTATCAGCCTCTGATTTCATCCTAATTAACAACGTGCCAAAGTAGCTGCTTTAAAAGGGCCTGACTCCTGAATCCAGGAAGTGGCAGACCTCCAAGAAAAAAATTCCCAAACCAGCATTTTGCATCATCATCTCTAAAAAACAGGAAAAATTTCCTCTTTCTGTCTTAAAAAATATTTTAAAGCATGCTAGATACTAATTACAGGAATAAACATGAGGCATCTATTAATTCTTTAAAAATGTCGAACTTTTTTGAAGCCTTATCACAGCAGGACAAACCTTAAAGTTTCTTTTCTATTAGACCATCAAATAGTATCGCCCTTTAAATAAAACATGGTTATCAACCTTTTTACAACCAGAAATCTAGAATAGTGTGGCAAAAATCTGAGACCCTTAAATAAAATCTAGAGCAACCAGCTGACTAAAGTTTTCCTCATAAATAAATACCTACCAGCTGTGTGTAAATTACTTAGAGTGTTGATGCAAATATCGTGTTTCTGGTCTGAATCATTCAATAGAAACATTAGATAACTAACAGCATCACAAAGTCCTGGAGCACAGCAGGTAGACTGGGGTAGCCTGACGTAGTCCTACTCAATTCTAGTCAGAATATGAGTCTGATACTGCTCCATAGAGCTGTGATTATGGGGCGTGTTTCGAACGAACCAGGAAAAAAATGCCTCTGCACTCAATTGGATAGACCTACAACCAATAAGAGCAACGGAGTGCGTGACGTATGTTAAGCGACGCATTTTCAACATGCATCGCTTTCTTTTCAACAAATGCCTTGATCGCGTTTCTCTGTTCCTCTTTTAAAATTCATTTGCTGTCGATATCTTCTAGAACAGACCTAATAGCAGAATCTACTCACCTCAACTCTCCGGCGGCAGCCATTGTTGTTGTCACCCAAGCGCGCTT